AAAATTTGAGAACTCAATCAATTAAATAGTTCGATTTGAAGAAAAGAGCAAAAAAAGTTTTTACGCAAGCAAAGCGAAGTTTTTCACTAATCGCTTTGCATAAATTACTGAAAAGCTCCCAAAATACAATACTTTGGATTCTCCCAAATTACACACACTGTTATTCTTAAAAATTAATAATAATTAGTTTCTTGTATCTGCATATTCTCTAACTGTTCAATATAATATTTAACTTTTTGGAATTTTTTTCTTTTTGTTTGATTTGTTGTGATGTTTTTGAGTCTTTCAATTACTCAATTGTGATCGGCTGAAATTAACTGAAAACAATTTTCAACGTTTGGTCTCTCCATTTTGAGGGACCCCATTTTTTCAAATCTCGAAAAATCATGAATTTTTTGAGGTTTGAAAAGCTACTATGAGCATGGTCCCATTTTCGACCTTCATGAATCCAAAAAGGATATTACGAATTAAGGGTTTCGGATATCAAGCTGAGGGGTTTGTATCAATTATTTTCTCAAAAAGTCATGAATTAGGAGTAATTTGAAGAGTGTTTGGACAAACTTCTTAATTTAATTGTTTTTCTTCACCAGCTTTTCTTTAATTAAATGCGATGCATCTAAATGTTGTTTAGAAAGCATTTCCTATTTTTATATTCTATTCAATATGAAATCCGGCTGTTTTAAATTACGAACCAAATTATTAACTGGCGAACACGAATTATGTACTATACTTGCCTAAATTTTTGGAAACTAACAGCTTACAGATAAAAAACAGTGTTTTGAGGTGCCTGCAAATTTCAAACTACGGCCCCAAGTCCCTTCGGCTTGAAGTCTTGTCGGCCTGTTGACCTAGACCAACAATTTAAGTACACTTATAAATTAGCAACACGCGTGGTTACTTGGTAGAGGTGCTCGATTTAGATCTCAACTTTCTCGACCAAAAATTGGTGTTCTCGACTTTTTCGATAAATTTTGGTATGTTTCGACTTTCTCGATCAATTTTTGGTATGTTTCGACTTTCTCGATCAATTTTTGGTATGTTTCGACTTTCTCGATCAAGTTTTGTTATGTTTAGCTTTTTTTTGTTCGACTAAGCTCAGATATATTTCGACATTCTTCGACATTCTCGACTATCTTGACCAATATTTTATAAAACTTTGGTTTTTCAACACCGCATAGATATTTTTTGACTTTTTCGGCCAAACTTTTGTATTTTTCGACTTCCTGGACCGACATTTTTTAAATTTAATTGTTCGACCACGCATAATTGTGTTTCGACTTTTTTTCTAGACCAAAATATGTTTCGACTTTCTCTGCTTTCTCGACCAACAATTTCTGAAAATTTAAAATTTCGCTTGTTCGACCTTGATTAGATATATTTCGGCTTTCTGGACCAAATTTCAATATGTTTCGACTTTCTCGACGGACAATTTTAAAAAAATTGAAAATCTGTTTGTTCGATCCCCATAGGTACTTTTCGACATGCTCGATCGAAAATTGAAGTGTTTCGACTTTCTGGAGCGACATATTTCAAAAATTGTTTTTCTTCCTCGCATAGATAAGAATCAAAATTTTCCAAATTTTTTTGATCCATTCCCTTACAATGGAATAAAAACCTTTTTTGTTTTCGATACTATCGATTTTTGTAGAATTGTTTTGAATTTTTTGAAGTTCTCTGTCATGTTCATCCGTTCGAACACGTCCATCCCCATAATGAACACGTTCATCCCCATAATCCCGGTTCACTCCAAACCCCCCCACCGCTGCTACCCGCTACGCCCCGCACACCCTTCACTGGATTTTGCTTATCTCATCTCCAGATCACAAAAATTCGAACCTAATTTGGAGCTGAACCTGTTATCAAGCAATTTTTTCTGGTTACAGAAAACCTTCGGACGGTTTTTTGTACGACAAGGCTTTTGTGACAGCAGGAAGCCCTAAAAAGCTCATCATGGGAAGAATTTTAAAAATTCCATTCCTTTCTCGCATAGGAAAAATTGTGGTTTTGTTTTGAAAAGGAACAAAAAAAACGAAGAAATTACATTTTTTATAAATCAACCCTCAACAGGCTAAATAAAAAAATCTTTTAGCGTCTAATGGCTCTATGTTGACCACATGGGAGATCTCAAACTATTTTCTCATCAATTTGAGTGTGCATAACATGCCCCTAATACGCAATACTTAGGAAAAAACTGGAAAATTTACCCCAAATTTCTGTATGTAGTTGTGTATGTATGTATGTATGTATGTATCTAGTTATGTATTTGCTTTATTTATGCATGTTTGTATGTATGTATGTATGTATTTATGTGTTTATATATGCATGTATAAACGTATAAGTTTATAAGTGTATGTAATTATGTATGTTTGTATGTATGCATGTATGAATCTATTTATGTATGTAATGACTTCACTTCATATGTATCAACCTATCTTCATCTGTGACTTAAGTTAACGACTGTTACCTTTGATGAAATGATTTGAGTTGTTTCATTAGATACACTTTTTTGTATATTAAGCTGCTGAAAAATGATACAATGCTTGAATAGAGAATTACTCTAACTTGTTGGTCAATTGCCATATCAAGGATTTTTTTGAGGTTTCCTCTGAAATAACGTTTTCCTCATTCTTCCACTCTTTTTTTAAAGGTTTATGTGAACTTAATTCAGCAGTTAGTTAATTGAAGCACAAATAATTTTGTTCATCGTTTGAAAGATTGTTTATCGTTTAACAATTTTGTTTCGACTGAACGGGATTGTGGAATCTGTCGGCATACTTGCCGCTCAATAACAGTTTCTGAATACTCACTGAAAGCGTGAGTTGTGTTTCTTGAAATGGAAAAGCCAAATTGCACGTTTTGTATTTAGGGTTTGCTTTATTATGCTTGTCGATCAGAAATCTTGATTTAGCTATCTGCTCGATTTAGTGTGGATCTTCTTTTCTTTTCTCTCTGCTTGCATGTAACGTTATGTTTCTGTTGTATCACATGGGGCGAGAAGTTCCGCTGTTTTAGCTGTAGTTTAACTTGTAAAACGCTCTTTTTACTTTTTTAATCTACCTGATGAAATAAGTTTTTGTTCAAAAGCCAGAATACTGAAAATTTTCCTTAAATCTGCTACTAATTAGAGTGAGGTTAAAAAGATGACCGTTTAAATTTTGACCAGTTTCTTCCAGCTAAAGAAGTTTGCCATCAATATGTTACTTCGGACATCAGCTCCAGTAAACAACATTTGTAAAGATGTCTTCTCTAGTGACCACAAAGAACTGAAGTCGAGACTAATAAGATACATGCAGCATCACCTCTATCGAAACTATAACGAATAATTCAGAGATAATTGAAAAACTTGAACAAGAAGCCAGAACTCTAAGCCCTCAAAGTTTTAAGATCTCAGTGCTTTTTATCTCGCAATTTTTTGCAATGTTATACTTTTGCATGTTTAACGAAACAAGCCATATTGTATATTACAATGGTTAAGATTTTTTTTTCAATTTTCCACTTTGGCTTCAGTGATTTTTTTGTCAAGTTTGAAAGTAGAAGCCCTAAAGTGGGATACTGTGAAGGTTACCCTATGGATTGCAAATTGCCTTCGAAATCTGAATACTCAATTTTTTTTGCTTACGAGATACAAAGATTTTTGTTTTTTTTTTCGAAAATTTTCATAAAACTTACATTTAAAAAATTAAAAAAAAAAATGGAAGTTGTAGATCTGTAGTTGGGTATTTGGGTGCTGCAGGGTACTCGCAAGGGTTGCAAATCTTGTCTTAGAAGCTGATTGCTCAAGTCTTTTTAGTTTTCAAGTTATGGCGTTTTTTCAACGATTTTTTCAAAATTGTTAAAGAACCTGTCTTTGAAAAATTGAACAAAATTGAAAAATTTATTTCTATGGTGTGAGTTTCTGCCAGGTTGTTTTCAAGCATTGAACATTGTGCGTCCAAATATGACTGATCAGATCCTTTTAGTTTCCGAGATATGACGTTTTTTTAATGATATTTTTTCAAATTTTTTTCGAATAACTTAGGTATACAAAACATAATAAAAGTGTAAGTTCTGAAGACCATACTGTAAGCTGACGTCAGAGTACTTTCAGACGATTTAAATCTTGCATCTAATTGTGACTGCTCAAATTTTTTATGTAGATGTTCCGATAATTGACATTTTTTATTTTTATCAGAAACTTTAAGAAAATTTAGATTAAAAAAATTTGAGGTGCTGCCGAGGTACTCTCAAGAGTTGCTACTCTTGCCTCCAAAGGTGACTGCTCAATTGCTTTTTGGTTTTGAGAAAAACCGCTGTTTGATTTTTTTTTTTCAATTTTGATTTTCAAAAAAAACTCGACAGTTTGTGATTATTCTCAGGGATTCCAGATCATGCCTCCACGTTTAACTGCTCAAATCATCTTAGTTTCTGAGATAGATCGTTTTTTATGCTTTTTCAAAATTTTTCTAAAACTCAAAATCTAAAACAATTGTCGCAAGTTGGAAATACTCATTGCTGTGGTGAGGTGCTCTATATGTACTCGCACGATCTCTGGCTGGACTCCAATTGTGACAGCTCAACGCATTTTGTTTTCGTTAGTGTGATCTCAGGTTAAGCAAGGGATGTATCTCATCTCAAATTTATCGCTTGATTGATTTCTTATTAAACTTACAATTAGGGTTAAGAAAAAAGAGTCTGATATTTGAAAATTAGTGGAGTGTAGCGCACCTCCGAAGTTTCAAACAGGTTAGTGAATCCAACAACGCCTTTGAATTCAAAACTTCAACGCTTTTGATTTCGAAATTTGAACGACAACAATAATTTTGACTCAAAAGTGTTTTAAACTTAAATGTTCAAATCTTCAAAACCACCGGGTTTCATATATTCGTTATTGAAAACATAATGTGGCTGACAACATACGAGTAAAGCCTAGATTGTATTCTTCGAATACTGAAGCTAGACAACGATTACTACTGTGATTTTGGTTCATATATTAGTTGTGTAGTTAATCAACTTGACTAGAAATTTTTAATTCTCGCACAATTTAATTAATGACATTAGGAGCAAAAGAAAACAAATTGTCAGTTACTTGGCACCTCCACAGCATTTCTTTTGGCGCTTCTTCGTTCCCTCGTCTTTGGGTGGTTTCAAGATGAATCCTGCATCTAAAATCATATATTTGAAATATTCGTGAGGCACTAAGCAAACTTAGATATTTTGTCCTTTTAAATAACTTTGTTCACAAGATGAATAAAACTTTAGTCATCTCTATGATTATACTTTCATCGACTAGCAAACAGTTTTTTTTAGCATAAATGCATGTTTAGTGTTGATGGTAAATTTACAAGCTCCAATTCCATTATTATTTTTTTCATTTTCTCTTTCCTTTTTCTGCTTCATTTCTCTTTCCTTTTCGTTTTTGGTTTTATTTATTAATGGTTTCGGCGGCCTCATTTAGAGGGTTTTGATGGGCAAATAGTTTTTTTATCTATTTGTTTTAGGGGGGGGGGGGGGGACAAAAACAAGATTTTGCGATTTTGCGTTGTAACATTTTTTAAAATGCAAGTTTTGTTTATTTTGGATCCACGTATGTCTGCTCACAAATCGACGGCTCTGTTACCACTTTGTTAGTTTTGTTTTGATGCTAATATAACATTAAAATTTGTTTCCCCTGTCATATTTCTTGAAACGATTTTCGCTTAAGACAGGAAAATCAGGGCGATGATACGAAAGTGTTGTTAGATCAATTGTTATAAAAAATTCAAAATATTTTATTTGCTTGAGTCGACTTTTTCGCGCTCTGATTTCTGCTTCTTCTCTTAATCTCAAAAGCAACTGGTTCTTAGAAAGAATTGAGAATTGACTTCTCAGGCTAAAAGAAAATATTTGGTAGATAATAATGGTCCATACGGCTAAAAATTTTTTCCTTTGTTCACTTTAAATATGATCAAATGACTGTTAGTGGACTGGGGTTCCAAACTCAATGCCTTTTTTTTCGTTTTGCAATTGTTTTCGAAAAATTTCTAAAAAATTATTAGCTTTCAGTTTTTCCCTTTTTTCGGCTTAAAGAATTAGATATATTTTTATATCGGCTTAGTAGCTTTGTTTCGGCCTATATACTATCAGTTTAGTGGCCATCGTTTGATGAGAGGTAGAGTTTTTTGTGTTCCAATGGGTAAGTTTCTAGAGGCAGGGAGACTTCGAATTTTTCAAGTGTTTTTGAATTTTTCTGCTCAGGGCAAAACACCGATGATCGACTTACTTGAAAAAAGCTAGCCATTTGCTTAGAAAGGAGAACCGTGGATGTTCGGCCACGTCGATATAGGAATAAATTTCAAATTTTGGACTAAATCTGAAATTGTTTTTAATATTTCCAATTTTTTGAAAGTTCGTAATTTTTTCGTAGACAGCAACTGATTTCGGCAAAAAAACTGCAAGAATGAGAGGTAATAATTGCTCAAAAAGTGTCAAGACACTAAAAACTCTCATTTGAGGTGTCTTTTTGTGATGTGACTTATTTAAGGATGAAAATCTTAAGATTTTCCCGACTCTGTGACAACTTTTTTCTAATTCATTTTCAGAATCCTTTTTGAATACTGTGCCGAGGGGGAGAAGCGAGCTCAATCCTACGTTAAATCCTACTAGAAATGTTACGACTGGACTAAAAGTAATCACGCTTAGGCGGGCGTAACTGATGCCCTATCAGCCTCTTATGATACCAAGCTGTTGGCCTATTATTAATAATTGTTTTTGTACTTTTTATTGGGTGCCAATCAGCTACATTGACTATCAATATTCGAATGGTCATCAAAATTTGCTCATTTTCTCTGAGTTTATCGAACGGGTTTCAGCTATACGTTTGATCAGATTTTCTTTCTATTTCAATCAAGAGTAAAAAGGTAAAAGTCGAGCAATTGCATGACTGAATGAAAGAATCAAAGAATCAAAGAATCACTGAATGCCAGAATCAATAATGGCTTGGTTTCTGGAGTTTTGACTTTTCAGTTTGCCGCCACAATATCTCATTTGCTGCACAGATACCTCATTTAACCCCCTACAAGCTTTGCATGGATAAGTCAAAACTTCGCCATTTTACCATACCACATTCTTTAGTGTGGGTGGTCGGAACATTACATAAATACTTCTGGAACAATAATCAAAGACTAGATTATAGATAACAGATTATTCCTGGTGGACTAACCGTTCAGCTGATGATCGTTGTCTTTGTTGTTAGCGTTCTCTATCTCTAGGATTTTACTGACCAGACACTCGGCGGCGTCGTCTATTCCGTAGCCCTCCTTGGCGGATGTTTCGAACCAGCGGATGTATTTGTGCTCCTGACAGTACTCGTCCATCTTGTGTCTGTTGTTCACCTACTCGCGTCAAAATCAATGCAAAATTTAATCTTTCTTCTCGATGTTTTTTACTAATCATGTTACAATTTCATTTTTGAGAAAATCACGTAAAATTATGCTTATTACTTTTATCTGATTTTTTCGCAGAATGGGTAGAATCAACTAGAAACGTTATTATGGTTCCAAAGTTGGCTCTTCCAACACCCCCCCCCCCCCCCCCCCCACACACACACACACCTGCAACTTTTTGTATTTTAAATTACTGTTCACATTGTCTGATAGTCCTGAAAATTGACATGCGGACTAAATAGGCCAGGAAAAACATATTTGCTATTCATTATCAACTTTGAAAATTCAGTCGTTAGACCATAAAATTGATTCTCGTGTGGGGTTGGGACTGGGTGAGGGGAGGGGGAGGAGGGGAGGAAAAAGAGTTTCGAAAGGTCTCACGAGTCCTTCTTTTGTCTGGTCGCATTTGTTGGCTAGGAGTACAGCGGGTATTGCAGAGTTGTCTGGCAGGTACACTTTGCTGTCCAAGTCATACTTCCACTTGCTCACTGCGTCAAAAGTCTGTGGCCGAGTCACATCAAACACGATAAAAGCGCCAATAGCATCTGCAAACCGACAGAAACTAACATTAGTGCACCGTTTTTCTTATCGTTTTTCAATTTAATTGAAAGAATCGGTGAAATTCAGTTGTTGAATAATTTATTTAATTTTCATTTTACTAAGATTTTTTTTCTTTTGTCACCTTCTTTTTCAGGGAAAAAGCATCTACATTGCGATTGCATTTAATCGCAAGTGTAGATGCATGTAACCGGAAACTTTCCTGCTCGAAATTATGCAGCGGAAGTCCACGGAAAAAATACGCTCATTACGCAAATTGCTTTGTGTTGCCTCCATGGACCTCGACTGGATTTGTCGTCTTAATGAACATTATAATTTTGCTTTTGAAATTTAAGTTCTAGCATAGAAAAGGAAACTTTTTTTCTGGCTCAGCTGTACACTTCGGTAACCAAAAAGTTAAGCAATTGAAAAGGTCTGCGGTTTACATCCCGTCCAAGCCATTTTTCCCAGTAACAAAAATTTTGCCGGTTTTTTTAGGTCAAACAAATTGAATTTGTGAGCTCTTACAAATCACTATAAAGACCCTATTTTGACCTAAATTTCTGGGCCGCAGGCAAGTTTATAGAAAAGGCTTTTCTAGTGGCCTATTTTTTCATTGAGTTGGATTTCTCTAATTGCGTAAGCCTTATGAAAAATGTATTTGTATCCGTGAAACTCGAAAAGATGTTTTGAAAAAGGTCAATCGTTTTTTTTTTGTTTTCATTCAGTTTAATAACTTTTTACACATGCAAAGCGAGTGTATTAGTACAAACCGTCTTTTTCGTTCCAACCTAAGTCGCAAATATTGGTGCCACTTTGCCAACTTAACAGCTTTTTCATAGCATAAGCTTTGACATTCGAATAGTAATAAGTTACACAGTTAATGTATTTTTGATTCATCAAATGAACCGGAAAAACTATTTGTTTCAAACAACCTAACAATCACAAAAACTCAGTTTCAGCAATTTTCTAAGTCAATATATCTCAATGTTTTTGAAAAGCATAATTTATAAATAATATGTTTTTATGCTTTGCGATTTGTTAGATGCAATGTTAGTGTGGATGCATTCTATTCTAAATTATTGTGGACTAAGACTATTTATATTTGGTGCTGTATCACTTTGGCAAACTGTTAGCATATGTAGCTGCTTTATTCGTGACTAATGTTTGACGGTTGTTAAGCTTGAGTGGCCGATGGTAGAATGCGAGAGACTCAAAATCTCCTGATTGCAGAGGCGCGCGAGATAGTGAGTGAGACTCAAAATATCTTGATTCGAATCCTCCACGTAACCCAGTTTTTGCTACTTCAAGGCTTATTTCTACTTTTTCTTATTCCTATTTAATAGAGCTGCTTTTTGGCCTTGTTTTTGTTTGCAAGCTCAGCTTTGCTTCTGTGTTTAATAATGATATTACTGTGAATTGTCTTTGTCCTGTTCTTTTTCAGGAAAAAATCATCTGCAAAAAGCATCAGGGGCAAAAATAGACCTTTAAGCAAATTCTTTTTCGTTGCCTCTTTGAATTTTTATTAACCCCGGCCCAACTCCCACTTTTCAAACTTGAACCACTTATTCTGTCTCTTTATTCCGTCACCTCCGACTATTTTACGGCATAAATAGGCACATTAAGCAAATTGTTTTGTTTTGCTTCCATGGATGTTTTTTTTATTAACCCCGGCCCAGTTCCCACTGTCAACCTCGGAACGTTTTTTTTCCATGGGGTAGGTGTCATCATTTTGCCGCAGCCGGTCCAACCTTGAAAAGGTGGATAACACTGGAACCCATCCAATCATGATAGAAGCGAGATTCGAACCCACGCGCTTTTTGTTTAAGGCAATTCGTCTTACCCACTCGGCCACGGCTGCTCAGCCCTACATGGATCTCGACCTGATTTTTCGGCTCAATGAACGTTACTTTTTGCTTTTGAAAATTAGTTCTAGCGTGAAGGAAAATGAAATATGAAATTTTTCTGGCTCAGTTGTTCACTCTGATAATAAAAAAATAGGCAATTGAAAAGTTAGGCAATTGAAAAGAAACAGTTCTGAACTTCCATGATTTTAGTCTTAAAGTAATGTGGGCGCTTTAGCAACTTAAGGTCTGCGGTATATATTCCTTCCAAGCTATTTCTCAGAGTATGGGATATATTCATGTGCGGATCAAGAATTTTCTCGAGAGGGGAGCAGATTTTCGAAAAAAAAGCGAAATTTTACGTTTTAGGTCAACCAAATTAATTTTGTGAGAACTTTTGCACCTCAAGTTCTTCAGTTTAAATCCCGTTCAAACATTTTTTCAGATTATGAGATAAGTTGAACTGTTGGACTATCATTTGTCTTCTCAGTTTCTAAGACATGGACTTTTTTCCATTTTAGCAAGTTTTGCTATAAAATGAGAATATTTTTTTTTGTAAATGTATCAACTCGGAAGGAAAACATAAGTTGGTTTCCTATACTTGCAACCGGGTACTAGACTTTTCCCCATAAATAATTTTTGTCTCAGAATGGTCAATGTAGTAGTAATGGCAAATGCAATGACTGCTGACATGCTCAAATTTTTTGAAGTTTTTCATATCATCATCCTTTAGACCAGATAAAAAAAAGAGTTTTTTCAAGCGGTTCTTCTTTTTTCCGAAGTTTTTTCCAGATTTATGATTTTCGTCCTTGTTTCCATCGGTTCATTTTCCCGTTTTTTAATTAACTTTTATACTATTTTATACTATTATGAATATTTTTTTGTGGTTTGCTTTCTAAATCATGGGTTTTTTATTTAAGAAGTGTTAATTTAATTGGAATCGTTAAATTTATAAGAAACCGAAGTCAATTTTTGAAAGATTTTTTAATCTATGTCCTATGTCGAGTTTTTTGATAGAATGTTGCATCGGTTAGTCAACTTATTTTGCGTATTTTTGGGGGCAATGTATATGCTAATGCTCTTATGCTTTCAATTATGGTTCGTTTGCGAAAGGTTTCACCTCCGTAAATGGTTCTAATCCTTTTAAGGCTCTTTAAACATGAAGGTTTTTGTACAGCGTTCAAATCAAAAGTTTTTGGTTAAGTTTTATTCTGAATTTTTCCGAAATATTTTTTCATGTAATTTTTAAACTGAATTTTCAGTCATTTTCTTCTACCTTTTTTTGAACATCTTGGAACGCAATGTTTTTGTTGTATCGCAACTGTTGCTAAGCGTCACCTCTGTGTTGAATGTTTTTTCGATCATTCCGTATCGGTTTTTTTTATTGGTTTAATCACTCAATTTGGCCCAGTTTGAGGGCAATTTGTTTGCTAGCTTTTAAAATTAGTCACTCAAACATAATTTTTACGGCAGAATTTGCTCATGACAGTTATTTGCTTATGGCTCAACAGGTTTGTACGCAAGTACTGTCAGCTGGGTAGCGCTTCCGTAAATGAACCTTAATTTAATGCTGGTTGTTGTTTTTTTGTTTTTTTTTCTGAGAAAACGAAGTTCTCCTATGTAGTGAGTTTTGTCTCAGTTTTACTTGCTGATGCTATGCGCGCGTTGAATCGCAAGTGATGCGGAGCTTTGTTGCGCCTCTGTGTTTAATATATTAGAGTCAAGACCTTTTTCAGATAATCAGATAAAAAGCAGCAAGATTCATGAGAATGACATTTGAATGTGCCTTTTAAGTTTGCGTTTTCTTTCGACCTAATCATTGAGTAAACTTGCGCATTTTTTTGACCTGATAATTGAATAAGACGAGGAATTTAAGTTTTTTAAACCTGAACGGCGGCTATTAGGAAAAGTTGGATTTTGTTGGCTGCTATTTCTCAAGGAGCTGACATGAATGGGTGTTTATAGAACCATAAAACAGTTTTTTGTGATCTTTTGCTCGAATGAGGTGGTGTGTTGATTTTTCATAAGACATTTTTGAGGCGTCAGATTTTGGGAGACGCTCAAGACCTTGTTTTTCTTATTACCCGAATACCTTTGAATCTGTTAAAAGCATTTTTCTCTCTTGCAGCAATTATTCAACAAATAAAGTATTTGTTTTTCAGTGAATAAGAAGGAAGTGATTGTCACTGATATAGGTCAAGATAACTTTTTGTCCGTTTTTATCCGTTAAAAATATTATGATTTGTTTAAGCAAAAATTTGATTCTTTTTTGCAATTTCACTACTGATTTCTTCAGTTCTATTCGGATCCTCTCATAAAAGGAGGGCAAATTCTACTAAAGCAGAATGGTAAAGGTCACGAAAAACGTGAATGACTTCTATTTTCAAAAATTGGAATTCAATTTCTTGAGCTCTCAGGGGTATGAAAAAACCAAATTATTCAGTTGTTGCGCCATTTAGTAAGCGTATCAAATCAGAATGATTCTTTTCTTTCGGGTTAATAGTTTGTTTAACATAAACACAGGATATCATGGTTAATAATGAAATCAAGTGTCTAAGTGTCTCCGGCAAAATTAGTCTGGAGGAAACTGAGGTCCTGGATTCCAATCTGTCCTGGACTTGCTGTGTTGTTCAAAGGAAAATTCTCTCTTTCAAAAAATTTTGTTTTATGATTTTTCTGCTTCTTTTTTTTGGCTGAGTTGCAACATCTTGAAGTGTTTTGATCTATGCAAATTTCATTGTAGTTGCTTCTTTTGTTTTCATTTACTCCTGCGATTTGGAATTTTTCTAACATTGACTTCATATATTTGTTTTTTTTTTAAAATTTTTGTCCAAAATTATTTCGGCTGAATTATTTCCTATTTTATAAGCATACTAACCTAATATTGGGTCGTTCGAGGGAACCATTTTTTGTGTGCTCTCCTCCGGATTGCAAAAATCGTTCAAAAGATTAATTTTTATAGTCCAAAATTGTTCTTAACAAAAATTTTAGTTTCGCACAAATTTTTTTTTTGAGTTTTCATTAAACGCCGTCGAACGTGTGTATGGACGTGTTTTCCGCAATTAGAGTACCCTTCCAGACAAAATTTCGAAGTTTTTAGTTCTTTTTTTTACTTTTTTTTCAATGATGTTTGGACTTGGGGGCTCTCCTTTTTATTTTATAATTAGGTTTTTCCATCAATCTTCATTCTTCATATTTTTTTAAATGATTGATTCTTAAGGAATTTAGTTTATGATAAATGAGCTGAGTCTCCTCATAGTCGCTTCACATTGCGTGGTTAATCAAACTTCTGATATACTAGATTTTTGTTCTACAACATATTTTCCTTACCCTTGCAATAAGCAAGGATAGTGCAATCGGGTACTAGACTTTTTTTGCCGTATACAACTTTGTTCACAGGATGACTGAAAAATTGCGCTGTACTTCAACAACTGGCTTAGAGCTCTTGAAGCGATTCTTGTTTTACAGTTGAAAAAATGTTAAGATAAAAGTTTATTTTTTTGTCGGCTTTCTTGATTTTGTCCCAATTTTTGTTGGCTTTCTTGCCGGGCGTAGAATTTCATTTTTGGTACTTTTTTTGATTAGTTTTTTTATTTGATTTTCATGAGGATAAAATCAATTCATAGTCTTGTAGTTTTAATTCGTGCTAAAATTTTCTCTTAAAAAAATTTCGCCCCAAATTAAACATTATAATGTAAGATTTTAATTCAATTTCTGCTCAAGTTCGAATTGTGTTGTTCCATACTTACTGCTTGTTCACAATTACTTACGTTTTTCAGTGTTCATGGGTGTCAATGAAGTCATTTTGTTGTTTGATTTTCCGTTTTTTGGAAAATAGTTCAGACTTCTTTTTTTAAACTGCATGTTGGAGTTTTCATCACTAATCAAAGTCAATTTTCAAATTAATTGGACTTTGAGCTATCAATTGTCGGCTTATTTTGTCTTGTATTGCTTAAAAAGTGTAGTTTTTTTGTTCCTGTTTTGTCAATTTTAACTTTATTTGAAAATCATTTTATTATATAAAAATTTGCTAATTCTGACTTTGTATGACTTCCTTTTATATTTTTGTTTCGACTTTTGCTTAGATAGTTTGGCTTGGATGAATTTGTGTAGAAATCTTATATTTTATCGCTTGAAGTGTAAGAATAGATTCTTACGCTTTTTTGTTTTTATGGAGGTGTAAGATGTAAAAAGTTCACGTTTCAAAACATCATATTTTAGGAAAAAATTTGTTTCGGTTCAACGGGCGACTACTTGAGTATTTTCGGCTTAGTTGCTGCTCTGTAATCGTTTCTGAATTCCTTTTTTAACGCTGCGAGTGAATCCGTTTCGTGAAACGTTTTCATCAAATTGAACATCAATCAAGACAAACGTGACTTCGGATAATTTTAGGGAAGTTTTTTTTACAGACAACTTGTGGTATCAAAATTTTTTATACATTCTTGAATCATTTATGGAGGGTGAAAAAAGGAATGACGTTGAAAAGTGTCAAACAGTTTGATTTTTACTCGCTGATAATTTGCTATGAAGCGACTCTAGTTCGCAGAAAAAGGTATTTCGCTTGCATTAATGGTTACATTTCCTTCTTTATCAGCCCTTTTGAAATGAATTTTTAAGGTAAATGGAAACTTTGGTTGCAAAACTAGCGTACCTTTGAAGTAGACCCTGGTCATCTGTCCAAATCTCTCCTGTCCGGCGATGTCCCACAGCTGCAGGCGGACTATAGTGTTGTCCGGCAGATCCAGTATTTTCAGTGCGAAGTCCACCCCAATCGTGGCCTTGTAATGTGTTGAGAAGTAATTGTGCACGTACCTGAGAAAAATCAAATATGTTATGATATTCGGAGACATTTTCAGGAGAAAGTACGTATTTTCAATTTAGATAAATCGATAATTTCAAAATAGATAAACTGGATAATTTTCAATAGATAATTTCAATTTTCAGACATGCAAAATGTTATTTTTCTCATGCAAAAGTTCATTAAATCCAAAACATGCAAAAGTACTTGCGTATTTTATTTTTCATTGAAAAAGCTAGCAAGAAAATGGTTTCAAATAGCAAGTTTTCATGATTTTGCTCTAGTGCTTCTTGAGTAATGTTTTTCCCAGTGGTTTCTTTTGGTTGAGACTTTTGGTTGATGACATAAAAGCAAAGTAACTGCATGAATCTTATGGTATGAAAAATATTGAACATGAAATTGATTGGTTAGTGTAGGGTGTATGTGTGCCTACCTTTTGATGAGACTTGTCTTGCCCACTCCCAAGTCTCCGATGACCAGAATCTTGAACAGGTGCTCCTTCTTAGTGCCAGATCGAGCAGCCATTTGACTTCACCCAAATTTCAACAGCTAATATTCTACTGATGTTCAGGGCAAATGGTTAAAAGTACAATGTAATGAATGGCGATTCGAAAGTGAAAAATGAAAGAAACTATACTTCTAATGACCACGATGTTTCTTTTACAAAATAGTTTGGGTAATACGAATACCTTTGAAGCAATTTATTGTTTGTTATAGATACAAGTAAACACAGTAATTACTAAATTGGATGTTACCCATGGTTGGCAAAACAAGACACTTATTTGCTCTAAATACCACCGGTAGCCAATCCAATTGTACTGCTGAATGTCGTAATGGTATAAATTGACATTAGACCCTGTGATCACAAATTGATTTACTTCTACATCAAAATGTCGACATTGGTATTGGAGAAACGTAAAAATGGAAAACGAAAGTCTAAACTGATTGTTGAAGAAAACTCTCCGTCGTCTGATGTTGAAATTGATAATGATTTGAAAGTAAAAAACGAAGAGAAGGAAATTGAGAGGGAAATGAAAGGGAAAGTGAATCTTGAGCGGTTTTTAAGCGTTTTTTTTTTGAAAAAGCGCTCAAAAACCGCTCAAACTGCTCTTTTCGAAGCAAGATTTTGAGCGCAATCGTCTAAAAAAACACTCACACCGCTCATATTTTGCTTCAAAAAACCTCGAATTGGGGTCCCTTCTCGAGACCACAGCGGGCATGGAAGATTTTCTAACAAAACCGTCGATTTTCTAACAAAATTTTTAATAATATTCAGCGACTTGATACGAGCATCCTTGGGGTGTTTGGTGCCATTTTGCTGCATCGAGTTGGCAATTAGCAGATGTCGCTGCGTTAGTGCATACATACATACACACATACATACATGTATACATACATACATACATACATACATACATACATACATACATACATACATATATACATACATACATACATACATACATACATACACACATACATACATACATACATACATACATGCATACATACATACATACATACATAAATACATACATACATACATACATACATACATACATACATAAATACATACATACATACATACATACATACATACATACATACTTGTTGATCGGAGACTCACAATTGAAGAATCTAACTTTCCCAAATTTCAATATCCTCAGCCTTCCTGGTGCAGGTATCGCGGATGTTCTAAACTTCTTGCCCCGCAAGAACGAATACGATATTATAGCTCTATTCATTGGTGCGAAGGATCTGTTTACGAAAGACAAAAAAGTCTCAACGAGAACACCCGAAGACGTTGCTGAAGAATTATCCCAACTTGGCCTACGGTTGACAGAACGTTGCAATAAAGTTTTCATTATCGCTCTACCACCCAGACTCGGAAGACCAGCCCGAACGGAACGTGTAAACGATATTTTTCGCAAAAAGAAAGAACTCTGGCGATATTGCGGTATATCGATAGGAATAACCACCAAAACTGTTCTATCTTCCGACGAAGTGCATTTAACAACAGCATCGCTTGCGAGTCTCCAAACGATTTTGAAAAAGAAGATCATCTACAAGAAGTTCTGTGTAAGAACTGATAGCGAGGGCTACTCGAATATATACCACTGCGGCAACAACATTTGTCGGTGTCATCATTTTCACAGAGACTGAATTTTCTATTGATACCCTTTAGGTATCGCCAGATTTGATGTCTTTGTGAATTCACATCTATAAATAAAACCGTTTTCTCCCGCTAGTCATCAAGTACCCTTAAGGTCCCAAACAACTGTTTTCATAACCCAACACTGATACTTCAGTCCTCAATCGGCGCCCTTCAGGTACCACCCTGAGGACTCGAGTACACTACCTAAATCCCCCAAACACAGTTTCCACACGTAAACATAAATAAAACTGAGAATGTCAAAGGAAAAAAAGCTTGCAAAACATGCAAGAACCCCATAAACGAAAATGACCCAATATACAATTGCATAACCTGTAATTGCTCTATGCACCTTGAAGTTGTCTGCACTGGCCTCTCGACCGTTGCACTCAATGGAATACTGGAACTTGGTAACAACGCACTACTGATATGCAATACCTGTTTGTCCAACGGAAAAAGAGATCAAGTAATCAGAAGCACAGCATCACATGACAAAAGTGAAAACATCAAAAAAATTGAAGAAGAAATTTCAAAATTAAGTAAAGTAGTAGCCGAAGTCTCGACAAAATTGAAAATATTAAAGATCCCATCCAAAGCCTGCCAATAGCAGAACAGGGTAAAACCTGGTCACAAGTAGCGGCGCAAAACATAATCAAACCCCTGAGCAAAGGATTGAGAATAAGAGGGGTCCCCGAGATCAAGGAAAGAGATGGAAGAAAAAGACTTGACCATGACTATGATGAGGTAAATAAAATCATGAAATTCTTAAAGCTTGAATGCAATATCACTGATCTCAAGCGTTTGGGAAAGTTCGGCGAAGAACGAGCAAACCACAGAACTATACTGGTACGAGTAACCTGTCCAAGAGAAATAGACTTGATACTATCATCAACACCGGCCCTCAAAAATTATGACAAAAATGTCTTCATAAGTAAGGAACTCTCAGTCGAAGAAATGAAACTGGAAAACGCCATCCTGAGAGAACGTAGAAATCTCATCAGCAGTGGTAAAAACCCCAAAAATCTTCGAATCAGAAACCTAGAACTGCATGAAAAAGTAGACGACACTTGGACAAAAGTTACAATTAAACCGGAGGAAAACAGCACAATTCAGACTAGAAATGACAACAGACTAGAATCGCTGACTGTTATGTCATTCAATACACTAAGTATACTGGATATAAATAGACGTATGAAACTTAGCAATATAATACTATCGAACGATTATGACATCATTTGCTTAAGCGAAACTTGGTTAACTGAAAATATACCTGACAACGCGCTTTTTCTGCCTGCACACATAATAACTAGATGTGATAGACCTACCAACTCAACAAAATCGAAACACGGGGGCGTGCTTATTGCTGTTAAGCATTCCCTAGCTTTCACAAAACTTGAAATACACACTACGGACTGCGTTGGACTCCTCCTTAACACTCCGACACCTCTCATCCTATGCTGTATCTACAGTGCCCCGAACGAAAGCAAATATAAGCTATCCACAGATGACTTCAACAAACTATTGAATATGCTAACTGACTACTCAAATGAATTTCAATGCCCAAATATTTTATTGGTTGGTGACATCAACTTCGCTAATACACATTGGCAAACCTTGCAATCAACCCAAAAACACGAACAATTAGTACTGCAGACTTTTACTACTTTTACTTATATGAACTTTCAACAGTTTATCGAACCCCCTCATGACCAATTAGATATTGTCCTTTGCAACAACCCCGACATTATTTTAAACACCAGGATAGACAACCATATGAAAAAACACTTCTCACACCAAGAAAGAGAATTATCAGACCACAACCCTTTTCTAATCACGATATCATCTCTTACACACAATGACGAAAAAGCCACTCCCATACAACACGGATCCGACTTTCTGGACTTTGGTGTCTTCTCATTCAACAACGTCGATTGGACTACTTTAAACAAATACATTTTGGAACACCCATTTCAACCGTACTGCTACTCTAATATTGACCAGTTAATCAACTCATGGTACCTCTGGCTATATATAGCGCTAGAAAAACACATGAAAAAACAGACCAAACACCGTATGAACCTAGCACCTTGGATCACACCTGAAACCTCCAATATTATTAAAAGACTCAACACAGCATCAAAAAAAGTAGCCTTTAAAAATACTCATACTAATAACCGCAATCTTGAAAGACTTAACAACCTTGTAGATCATTTATCCGAATTAGATCAGAAAAATTTCGAAGAATCAACTTTCAAGGGCAAAAATTTCTCAAAGCTCCAAAAATACTTTAAAAGCGTACGAAAAAACTCAAGTACTCCAAAAACAATGCACTGGAATGAAAAAACCGAATCAACAGAGCACGGTAAAGCTAATCTTCTAAACAATTACTTCGTAAGCGTTTTTAACATTAAACAGAATGAAAACATTTTACCAATAGCTGAATTACCTGGCTCAATCAAATGCTTCAATTTCTCTGAAAATGAGATATACGACATCCTTAAAACATTAAACCTCCAAAAAGCAAGAGGACCAGATAGACTCGGTAACACAGTCCTAACCAATTTAGCAGATAGCATAACTTCATCTCTAAAACTGATTTATAACACCATCACCAACAAAGCAACATTTCCAACGATCTGGAAACTTAGCCAAATCATCCCAACTTTTAAAAATGGAGACAAGCAATCGGTCACAAACTACAGGCCCATCAGCCTGCTAACTGCAGTATCCAAAGTCTTAGAGAAACTGATCTTCCTAAAAATCTCACCAAAATCTTCTCGCAAATCCATGACAGCCAATTTGGCTTCTGTCCTAAACGATCGACAACTCTGCAAATGCTCCAATTCCTCGACAAAATCTATGATGACTTTGATAACCCTAATATCAAGTCTCTACAGGCAATATACTTAGACTTCGAAAAGGCTTTCGACAAAGTTCCTCACGACTTGTGCATATATAAAATCAATAAATTTGGCATATCAGGATACGCACTTAAACTATTAGCAAACTACTTAACCAACAGAAAACAGCAAGTACGAATAGGTGCGGCAGTATCCAGCCATCTTGAAGTTAGTAGCGGCGTACCTCAAGGCTCACAGTTAGGGCCAGTATTCTTCATTACATTCATCAACGATTTACCGTCATCACTCACCAACTCGTGCTATGGTTACGCAGACAATTATAAAATTGTTGCAACGAACCTACATACATACATACATACATACATACATACATACATACATACATACATACATACATACATACAAACATACATACATACATACATACATACATACATACATACATACATACATACATACATACATACATACATACATACATACATACATACATACTTACATACATACATACATACATACATACATACATACATACATATATACATACATACATACATACATATATACATACAGACATACATACATTCATACATACATACATACATAAAAATATATACATACATACATACATACATATATACGTATATAAATACATACATACATATATACATACATACATACATACATACATACATACATAAATACA